TCGCTGCGCAAATCGAGTTTAGGTAACGTATTTCGGAGAAATACGGCTGGCGTCGTATGGGCCGAAGGTATCGACTTCTAACGGCATATTTACGACAAAAGAAAAATAGTTTTGGTCCCAGAGCCAGAAATTTGGAAAATCTCTGAACTCCTTTTAACTCGTACCTAATAGGTAGGTACCGGGCTTAAATATCCTTAGAATATTTTTTTTTTTTTTTGATCTGGAAAGTTGAAGAAATAACGGAACGAAATTGCTGTGATTTAGGTACATTCTGATTTGTTCATGTTCGAGAATGACGAAGGCAAAATGTGTAGCAAAAAAAAGAAGGACGCCGAACCGCGAGCTAAGATACGAGTAACAAACTACTGGTAGCGGTGGCTGTTCCTCATTGGCTGATAGAGAGTGGTTCTTGATTGGCCCTGCATAGAGCGAGAGATACAACTCTAACACGCCCTCTTAATCTAAATAGCGAATTTGTGACAAAAGAAGAGGGAACATGAACAATCAGTTGATGAACAATCAGAGGGAACAACAAACGCATCTTTCGCTCCCAAGTAGCATTTTTCAAAGTTAAAGTTGCAAGAAGTTGAAACAATATTGGTTAAAAGTCGCAACTAAGTTGCAACTTAGTTGCAACTCTCAGTCAACATTTGGTCGATAAGTGCCGATTTTCTGCGATCTGATCGGAAGAAAAGTCGCAACTTAAGGCAATTGAATTGCATGAAGCTTCCAACTTATCGACATTGCCAAAATCATCATGCAAACCTTCTCCTGTTAAGCACTCTGTCAGACACCCTATCCAGCCTCTCTGGCCGTTCGTAATTTTTACGCGACATGAGGTAAGGAGAGACTTATCCTAAATACATCGTAAAATTCCAGTGCACTGTTAAAACAAGCAGTGAACTCCAACACAATGTGTTGATAAGGCGCGTCGCATTAACTCGCACATATCAACTCCTTTAGTTTCCATTTACAGAGATTTCAAAATAGGCAAGTAGCACAACAAGAGAATTCATACGATCCAACACTGCGAGGTCAATGACGCACCTTGACGAGACCGTGTTGTGAATGTAGAAAGCTATTCGAACGAGTTTAAGTTTTTTGATCTGCCCCATGCAAAATCTTATCAGATTATTAAAGAAAAGTGCTACGTAATAATTTAAGCGAAGAAAGGAAAAATTCTGTCGAACTTCTGAAAGATAAAGTCGATTTAAAGGTATTTTGGGGCTAAAATACCCAAATCACCAGTACTATAAATCCCGTTATATTATTGAAAAGAAATTTACTCGATAGAAATGCAATTGCATTAGATCTGTCTTGATTTTGTTATTTTAAACGTATTTCCATGCAAAGAAGTTCAACCATGTTCATGCTTTATTCATCCATGAATTGAAAGTAAGCAATCTACATCCCGAAATCTACCGATTTGCCGTAAAAAATTGCAAAAACTTGATATACCAGGTCGATGCACCCACTCGTTGAATTTACCAACCAATTTCGTGAGTGCAAATGTGTAAAAATCAATATGCTATAGTCATTTTGGGTGCATTTATTTTTCATGAAACAATAATGATTTCAATCCCGAAAAACCATCAATTTTCCGTATAAAATCGAAAAAATTGAAATGTGTCGACTCCCTGACGTGAAAATTAGATTCGACGTATAAACATACTTACGTATCGATATGCTGAACAGAAACCATGTGTAGGTACAGTTGTCAGTCCGCGGCAACATCAATTCAACAGAAAAACGGCAATGATTAGATCGGATTTTAGCCGTTTTGCCCGCCTCTCCTCGTTATTTACAAATCCCTAGTAGCAGATTTATATAAAAAATTTTTAACGAAAGTATACCACTCATACGCAACGGTTAAGTAACGGGATGTTCAAAGGAAACCGCCGTCGTATAACCGTTATTAATTAAACAATTTTATAAATTGCGCGAATAACCTTTATAATTTGTTTATATAAAAGTTATTTGTAAAAATGTTTTATATAACTGTTATACTTCAGTTATTCATCTTTTATATAAATACGCTCTTTATATGTATATTTTATATAACCGTTATACTTTGATTATACATTCTTCTTATACAGGGTGTTCGAAAAGTCCCCTCCCCCCCCTCTAACTTTTGACCTAATTGAGGCAGAGATTTGAAACTTGGAGGGTGTTCCTAGATCAAAGGGAGCTACTTTTTGACCCCCCCCCCAAAATTTTGGGGGGCCCCATTATGGGGGGGTTACGGACCCTAACTTTTAATTTTCAAATGGGAAGACCCCTTTTGTGATACCTCGTTCGAAAGAGCATAAAAAAAGAAAAATTTTCGCGCAAACCGGAAGTCATTATCTCAAACCGTTTCAAAATGGCGGCCGGTCAAAGTTCCAAATGACCGAAAATTGGCACCTCTGCTTTTTGCACATGGATTTGCTTGAAACTCGGTATCTGGGGGTGTTTTGGCACGAGAAAAACGAATTTAACGTTAGATTTTCAAAAAAACCCTAATTTTTCAAAATGGCGACCGGTTTAGGCTCAGAAAGGCCGAAAATTTGACAAACTCGATTTTTTTGCCAGTGGATTCACCTGAAATTCGGTATGTGGGGGTATTTTGACCCGAGAATAACGAATTCAACGTTAGATTTTTAAAAAAACCCTAATTATTCAAAATGGCCGCCGATTAAAGTTCAAAATGGTCAACAATTGGCAACCTCGACTTTTTGCCAATAGATTCGCCTGAAACTCGGTGAAATAACGTCGAATTCGTTTGTCTCCCACCCAGATACCCTCAAACTCCGAGTTTGAGGCGAATCTATCGGCAAAAAGTCGAGGTTGCCAATTGTTGACCATTTTGAACTTTAATCGGCGGCCATTTTGAATAATTAGGGTTTTTTTAAAAATCTAACGTTGAATTCGTTATTCTCGGGTCAAAATACCCCCACATACCGAATTTCAGGTGAATCCACTGGCAAAAAAATCGAGTTTGTCAAATTTTCGGCCTTTTTGAGCCTAAACCGGTCGCCATTTTGAAAAATTAGGGTTTTTTTGAAAATCTAACGTTAAATTCGTTTTTCTCGTGCCAAAACACCCCCAGATACCGAGTTTCAAGCAAATCCATGTGCAAAAAGCAGAGGTGCCAATTTTCGGTCATTTGGAACTTTGACCGGCCGCCATTTTGAAACGGTTTGAGATAATGACTTCCGGTTTGCGCGAAAATTTTTCTTTTTTTATGCTCTTTCGAACGAGGTATCACAAAAGGGGTCTTCCCATTTGAAAATTAAAAGTTAGGGTCCGTAACCCCCCCAAAATGGGGCCCCCCAAAATTTTGGGGGGGGGGTCAAAAAGTAGCTCCCTTTGATCTAGGAAAACCCTCCAAGTTTCAAATCTCTGCCTCAATTAGGTCAAAAGTTAGAGGGGGGGAGGGGACTTTTCGAACACCCTGTATATATGCTCTTTATATAACCTTTATACTTTGTTTACATACTGTGAATTTAGCTCTGCTACTAGGGACCGTTCCTATACTCATCTCAAAATTTTTCTCAGAACTTTGTTTTATTATCAGCTTCCATTTAAATCCCGGTTCGATGACCAAATCGGCAGCCCAAAAGGCAAGCCATATTTTAAAGGTTCTATGAGAAATTCGTAATATTATCGGCTATCAGGAAATCACCTCATGGCTAAAATTGGTGGTATAAATGTTTGAGTGCTTAAAATACTCGTATTCAAGAAACCAAGGCATTAAAATACCTATGGAGTCAAATTCTTTTTAATAATATAACGGGATCTACTACCAGTGATTTAGCTTCCCCCCCCCCCCCCCCNCGACGTGTCCGTGTGTTATAGACGTGTTGTAAACAGCTCTGACATTTCTCTTTTTTCCAGGATGTTAATTTCACATTAAAATTGTGTAGTGTGTTTCAATGTACGTAACAACTGCTTGTGCATCTGTATCCGTTATTTCATCTGTCTAGTGTTCATTGTGTGTCAAAAATTCCAGTTTTTGCTGTCGCACTGTCTATGTAGCTCCTCTAAAGAATTCGAAGAATTCAAGGAATTCGGAGACGTAATCGCGCGCATCTTGACATGCCGCCCAATCGCTCTCGCTCGCCAAACGGAGTACCTAATCTATCTACTCGCGCCGGCCGCACCATTGTTGCCCGACTGGCCACCAATGCCACCATAAATATTTCCGACCGATCCCCGACTAATTCTGAGACGCGGCTACTACGGTTAGAGTACCTATATTGAGAGAGTATGGCCACTGGGCCCAGAGACAAGAGACCCTCCACAAGTAACTTGGCCATGGTGGAAGCTTTTACTTTCGGGACTTCAGCATTCTACTGTTGACTTACCTACATGGTTGATGTTCAACAACGTGTTGGCAGTTTCGGTTCGCAAACAAGTCGAAAATGGCCGACGTTTGAGAAAGTTGTTTGGCTTATGACGTCATCCGAAGCTCATCATCGACCATGTAGGTAAGTCAACAGCCGAAAATAGGGTGATGACTGTTGCTCGCTCATAAAGGAATTGTTGAAACCCCGAAAGTAAAAGCTTCCACCTGTCGCTAGGAGGCCAGTGGAGGGTCTCTTGTCTCTGACTGGGCCCCATGGAGAGGCTTAGGACCCAAAAATGGCGGTGCTTTGTTTTGGTTTTTGTGGATGGGAGGGGGGTCATTGCCAACTTTTGACGGTCATCACCAACCGCACTTGCTGCCAACCTTACTACATCTAAGATAATTTTTCTCAAAAATTGCACACGATTAGCCTTAAAAATATGTAAAGATGTCGCAATAGTGCATTTCAGTAAATTTCTCGTTACGATAAGCAAAGAAAACTACATTTTGAGTCATTTTGCATTACATTAATTTATGGCGTCCGCCATTTTTGGGTCGTAAGGGCTCCATTCAGCCTAAGATGGCTGAGCCAATCAGAGGTGGTAACCCCAGTGGCCATACTCTCTCAATATAGGTACTCTAACTACGGTCATCGACCAAGAATCTCACAGCGATGAGTGTTGCCCCCACAGGGTTACATGATCTTTCAACACCGCAAGTTCGTAAAATTCCGTCATCCAGTGGTCGGTCTAAAACAACATCTAGCACCAGTAACAAGCCAAGCAGCAGCCTACTGATAAATGGTGGGAAGAAGAACATAAAGAAGAAATCAACAGTATTATCTCCTTCGGCAAGCCCAACGACCTCTAGCGACAGGATGATGAAGAAAACTCAAACTAACATGACGAGGAGTGCAACGGCGACATCCAATTTTTCAGCACCTAGCAGACGGATACGGAAGACAGCGCTGACTTCTAATGATAGTGACGAGAGCAGCCTGCTCGACGCATCCTCTTCCGATATCTACTCCACACCGAACGAAGAAGACCGAAAACAGACGAACGGCTCTGCAAAGCTGATTGTACCGTCAATCACACGTGTCTCAGGGAACGCAAATGTCTGCAGACCTTCTGTTTCAGCGCAATGCGCTCATAGATGAGATAGCATTGTTAAATGTCACTAACAGTAAACTTCGGGATGAAATACTCAAATTAAAAAAGGCGAACTTTAGTATTAAGGAACAAATTAGAAAAACAAATAAGAGAGATAAAGGAGAGAAGTGTTCTGAGTTTAGTAATAGAAACACTTGTGTTTTCAAAAAACTTAGATTTGTAAACAAAGTTGATGAACCTATTATCAGTAATAATGATTTAGTAGGTAAGAAAATTAATTTAAATCTTAAACCTGGTGATGACCCTACGGAGAAAAGTTTTACAAAAAACATACCAGGTATGAATACGGGCTTTCTATCCCAAGAAAACCTTGAGAGAGAACACAGAAATTGGGATTCGACCAAATTTAAAAAGAGAAAAAATGGAGTAAAAATAGTGGCGGATAGCCATGGAAAAGAACTTGGCTTCCACCTAAAAAACTCAAGTAATGCTTTTGTGAGTTCAAGCGTCTATCCGGGCTCATCCCTAGAAAACTTAATCGAGTTTACTAGTGACGAAAATTTCAAAAATCTAGTTTTAATAAGTGGTTCGAATGATATGCATCAAAATAATGCAGATAATTTTTACAATAAGCTTCATAATTTGTTAAACAGTACTGATGAGGATCAAAATGTATTATTAGCAACAATACCCCCACGTTATGATCTCAGTTACACGTCTCGTATTAACCAAGAAATTAGGAAAATGAATGTTAAAATATGCAACCTTGTAGGCAAATTTAATAATGTGTATATGCTAGATCTCCATAGTATCGAACGGAATCTCTTTACAAGACACGGCCAACATTTGAATAAGATAGGCAAGATGAGGCTGGCCTCAATGATAAAAACCATCTTAAGTAATTTAAACTACTAGAATCCGACATGGCAAGCACAAGCAGGCCTGGTTCTAAGCTGCATCTTGGCAGTCAAATGAGAGTGAGAGATACATTTAAACTAATAAGTGAGGACAAGACCGAAGTAGCTGCCGCTGATAAGGTTTTCTTAAAATCTTCCTCGAAGACAAATTTATCTTTATCTTTATCTTTTTTAAATTTTAATATTCAAAGCCTCAAAAAAATTGAAAAACCGCACCTACTTGCGCTTGAATTAGGAAAGCTGCGCACCCCGCCTGATATTATATGCTTTACAGAGACTTGGTTTAAACCTGGTCAAACCATCCCTTTAGCAAATTACATTTGTGCTGATACCAACGCAAGACGTTTTACTAAGGGAGGAGGATCAGCCATTTATGTTAAACATAATATTACGAGCTCGTGTCTACAAAAGTTTAATGTTCTTTCAATTGAAAACCACTTTGAAGTCTCTGCTACCTCCGTAACAAAATCTGATAATTTTAGTTTCCGAAAACCCTGGATTGTAATTTCTATTTACAGGCCACCGACTGGTGATATATGTACTCTCTTAGAACAACTAGAAATAATACTTAGAGATTTATTCGAATCAAGTTGCCCTTACATTATTGCAGGCGATTTTAACGTTGACTTTCTCAACTTGCAGTGTAAAGACGTTAAGTCACTTTGTAGTCTATTAACTGAATTTGGCATTAAGCCATTATTTTGCGATGAGCCCTCGAGGATCTCTAAAACTACGGCAACCCTGATTGATAATTGTTTTTCTAATAATCAGCCCGTAGACTCTTTCATGTGGGATCCTTGTCTATCCGACCACCGAGGGGAATTTGTCTCATTTAACATTAATAACCAAATTACTCATCAGAGAAAAAACAGTAAGTACCCTTAGAAGATACTGGTCTGATGATTGTCGATTTGACCTACTAAATCAACTCACTCATTTCTGTTCTAATTTTAATGCTCAACAAGGTGAAACTGATGACAAGTTGGAAAAATTCTGTCTTGGTCTATTCTCCTTCATTGATCTTTGTTGCCCTTTAAAACCAGTTAAGCCTTTTGCTTACAAAAGGATAAGAAATAACACCCTAAATGCGCTGAGTGCACAAAAGAAAGAATACCATGCACTTTACAAAACGACAGGCCTTCTTAAGTACAAGAAACTCTTTAATAAAACAAATAAATCTTTAAAAAAGGCCCTTTATCGTGAAAGGCGTAAAAACTGCGAGTCTTTCATTAGAAATTCTAAAAACAAATCTTCTGCTGTCTGGAAAATAATCAATGAGCAATTACCAGGCAAAAGAACACATTCATTGATTGATTCCATACGTTACAACAATACTGATATTAAAGACACTGCTGAAATAGCAAACGCATTCAATGATCTCCTTACCTCGCTGCATGAAACCTTCCCATTAAATCCTAAGCATAAGGTGGCACTAAACATGGTGGAAAAATCACTAAAAACCCCACCTCCGTCCTTTGAGTTTCAACATATATCAATGGAGGAATTGTATTCTTGCGTTTGCAGTCTCAAGCCTAATAAAACTGATACGGACGGGCACCTACCACCATTCTTTTTCAAAGACTATTTTCCGGTTATCAGTGACCATTTACTCTTATTGCTAAATGAATGCATCTCTCAAGGAATTTTTCCTGACTCTCTAAAACAAGCCACGGTAATTCCTGTTTACAAAAAGGGTTCTAAAATTGATATTTCAAACTATCGTCCCATTTCCATCCTGTCCACAGTAAGCAAAATCCTAGAGAGAATCTTATTCAAGCAACTCCTTTGTCATTTCGAATCAAATGACCTACTATATCATAGACAGTACGGTTTCAGGAAAGGTCTATCTACCACACAAGCTCTCTTTAATCTAATTGATAATGTGATTAATGCTTTCGAATTGCAAATTCCGATTATGAGTCTACTCTTTGACCTAACTAAAGCCTTTGACCTCTTAAACCATTCCTTGTTACTCGACAAGCTTCAACTTTATGGGCTGTCCTCAAATTCACTAGCCCTCATTGCCTCATATCTTACTGGTCGTAAGCAAAGAGTGAAAATCATCTCTGCTGCAGGAACCATCTTATCTGATTTCCTACCCATAATTACTGGCGTACCGCAGGGCTCAATACTCGGTCCACTATTGTTTATTATATACATGAATGACCTCCCTTCCAACGTTACTCATCCCATTTTATTATATGCCGATGATACTTCCGCTGTAATTACAGATGGCGATGTTAAGCTAAAAGCTCGTGTAGTCTATGAGCAGGCCTGTATGTGGTTTGAGGCAAATGGCCTCCTTGTCAATCAAAAGAAAACTCAAGCAATTCTTTATTCTGTATCCCCTAGAACTACCTCTTCATTGCCAGAACCCATTTGTATGTTAGATGATAATTTAAGCGTAAAATTGGAAAGTTCCATAGAATTTCTTGGCATTCATATTGATGCAGGTCTAACGTGGCAACGACAGATCGACATGGTTGTGTCAAAACTATCAAGGGCCTCTTGGGCCATTCGCAACCTTTCCTGAATTTCCACCTTGAGCTGCTGTCTCGCTTTCTATCACGCTCACATAGTGTCTCATATGCGATATGGGCTTCTTCTGTGGGGGCGAGGCTCTAGTGTTGATCAAGTGTTTGTCATGCAGAAAAAAATTATCAGAACCATTTTCAATCTTCCTCATAACTCACACAGCCGCCCGATCTTTGTTACATATAAATTGTTTACCCTAACCTCCCTGTACATCTGGGATTGCCTGAAATTTGCCATCTCCAGTGCTCTTATTTTGCCTTCTGACCTCCTGCCCAATCATCATTACTACAGTAGGCATAAGAACATCCCTAATTAAATGATTCGATTGAGACGGACTGAGCAGGATGTCAAATTTTCGGCAATACAGATGTTCAACGCACTGCCTTGGAGTGTGAAGCTACACTTTCGAAATGCTGATCTAACGTCGTTGTTTAAGGGGCTGCGTGCTTTCTTATTCGAAAAAGCCTTCTATAATCTTCACGAACTTTTAGGCTAGTAAAATTTAACACTTGTACCTTATGTAAATCGCTGTAACTGTTCACCATGTACCGAATATGACGTGTGTCATAGCCTCAGCCAGAGGCTCAATTGTACAAATTATAAAGTAAATAAATAAATAGCTATTATAGCCCCAGAATACTTTTAGAGCGCCTTTACTTTCCAGAATCTTGACAGAATTTTTTTTTTTGGCTTAAACAACTCAAGAGACACTGTAAGTAGTTGAAATATATAAAGAATTTTCGATTTTGACCCAAAAAAAATCGTTCAGACACACCGTTGGCTGTCTTAGGCGTGATTGCACTAAAGGCTGCCTGGCTGGCCCTGGCTATCAGAGCAGTGGTACCAAATTTTGAAAAGCATAACAGGGGTGTAGATATCTGTCAATGCAACGTTTTAAACAAAACGGAGGAGTGAAATTCTCATTCGAAGAGTGCTGAACTGCTCAGCCATCCTCGAATCAGTTCGTTTGCTCCTGCTTATATATGCATATTTTAAATTAGCGCGGAGCATTCTTAGGTTTTTTTTAAAAAAAACCAAGTAACGTAGACTCTTGGTATTCATTGCACATAAAGTAGAAAGCCCCAGAATTAGGAAAAACTTTAAATCATAATTATTGACGGATTAGTAAACTTTTATTTACACGCTTTGGAAAATCTCAAAAGTTCGTGGCAGTCACTTTCCGGTATGGAACTAAGGGACTCGGTTATTGTATCGAGTGGGGGGTCGAAACGATCGCAAAGGCGGTATACTACGTATACGCGCCAAAAAATGGAGTGAGACTCAGCACAAGCGCGAGTAAGAACGGACCCTCACTTCGCCGGACCGAGGAATCACTCCGACGGACAATTGAATTACATTTTGCAATAAGGATCCACTATTTCTGGCCCATTTTAGAAACAACATATATACCACTGGTTTCATTATGCAGATGTGTGCTTTTATGGGAGAGCCAGAGATAGTGGTTCCTTTATTGCAAAATGTAATCCAATTGGCCGGACGGCTTTTTGTGTGCTGTACTGAGAAATCACTCCGACGTCGGACGGATTTGCTGGAGCCGCAAATTTAGGGATTCGCAGCTAGGGGATGGTTTTTAA